CGAAAAGCAAAACATCTTGACGTCACAACCATGTTTACATACTCTCTTTCATTTTTATTCTCGATATTTTTGACCAACTAGTTGGATTTTACTAAAACAGTTATTCCTCTCGCCCTCATGGCCTCTGAGTCAATAGCCCATTGACTCAGAGCCCATTCGGGCTCGAGGAATAATTGTTAAATACACACATATTGGACATCAATGTTTTGATCAATTGACAGCTGTCAAAACAGGGTACCCGCTGACCAGTATCACTTGACCGCATCTCGGGCTCAGGTGTCGACCCATCCAGGTCAAGTATTTTTTGAAGTTATCCGCTGACAAGTTACTAGTTTTCAAGTGATCGCAGGCTCAAGTTCAATTTTTTCAAAATTCATATGAAATATGTTGTGTTTATGTGCCGCACAATTAAAATTTTGATTGCAAACTGACCTCGGACGCCAAAATTCAGCCAGCTGTTACAGGCAGGGAATACAGTTGCTTTTGACTTTTCTCGCCATGGTCACGCGTTGGTCACGCTCTTCGTCCAATTTTTATGCTCTGATTGGTCAAAATTTGACAGGTGGGTTCATGCGGAAAATTTATGCAGCATCTTGAATCTTGTTTACTTTGACAGCTGAAGCTGACAGAGTTTTGTGTCAACTTGTGATGTTTTTAACTGTCTTTTTCCACNACTTTGACAGCTGAAGCTGACAGAGTTTTGTGTCAACTTGTGATGTTTTTAACTGTCTTTTTCCACTGCATGTACAAAATGAAATTCAGCTGCTATCAGGAGTCTTCTGTTATTCATGGCTAGTTTGGTTACTGGGTTTTTGGTTGAGAAATACGTCGCTTTTCAAAAGTGGAAATCCGATTTCGGATGACATCGTTTTCGTTTTCACCTTGCTTGATGCGTAAGAGGGTTGCAAAGCCTGAAGCAATACTGGCCTTACTTGATACCTTTCAGGAGCTGTATCTCGAATGGTAAGCCAGAGTAATTATTGTATTTAATGTTTGTTTTTTGTATCTAATTTAATGAATAATTCGAGCTTAGTTTATGCAGGTATTTAGTTTATGCACAAATAAATTAAACCACATGTTTTTTTACCTTTCTCAGTAGCTAGCTTCAGATTGTCAGTGGTTTCAAGAATAGCTCGTTTAGTGGAATATCCTTTCCTAAAACCAAACTGATATTTGTACAAGATTTGATGTTTATCTATCTATATATAGTTGATTATAGACTAGACGCTCGAGCACTTTACTAAAAGTTGAGAGAGTTGCTATGGGCCGATAGTTGCTAGGGTCTGTAGCATCACCACCCTTATACACTGGGGAAATTTGTGAGACTCTTAAAATATCAGGAACAATTCCAGTTTCATATGTTAAAGGTATTGACAATGACTGGGCAGCTATTTTAATTAATTTATTAGGAATATCTAAGGATGCCTCATGATCGTTTAAACCTTTAAATAGTGAGCATACTGGGGTTTCAGTGACACAGGACATAAAGCTAGCTACTGGAGTCGATCTTATGAATTGGGTCGGACTTCCATCACAATTTTCAATTCTTTTGGCCAGGTTTTGACTCACATCGACAAAATGCTTATTAAATTGATCAGCGATCTCAGCCTTGTTAGTGTAAGCTCTATTGTTACGTTTAATTTTCGAGATGGGGGTTTGTCCCTATGAGATGCGCTTAACTAGCATACTAATCAATTTCCAAGATGCCTTCAGGTTGTTTTTACATAGGTCAAAGTGTTGTGAAAAGTAGTTCTTTTTGCAAATGTTTTTAAGCCAATTCAGTTTGTTAGCATACTTTTTATATTCGGTCACCTTAATTGGATTGTTAAAAAGAAAGTGTGTTTTGTTCCTAATCTTATGAACCAAGCCAAATTTTGAAGGATTTGTGTGGAATCGTCACAGCATAACTGGGCTAATATCTCAGAGGCAATTTGTCCCGAATTGCTAATTTTTAGCAAGTAGGCGTCTTCGACGTTGTTCTTTCAGAATTTCTTAACAAATCCCATAATTTCACAAATTTCATTTTATGACGTCATCACTTCGGTAGTCTATTGTTCTTTCGCTTGAAGTCATTGATACGGCCAAAGAGTTGTTTGCTATAACCTGTGAGAGATTAATTGACTGAGATTTCTCTATCCCGTCAACACGTGCTGTCAAGGCCTTAATGCTTGTTCTGAGTGCTTCGAGTTCGCTTTTCAATTCACGCTTAATACTAGGCAAAAATTCTTCCCTCCAAATTTTCCGCAAGTCATTGAAATTCAGATAACCTTTAATTCGCATCCATCACTATGAATTAACTCAGAAATTAAGTGGTTATGATAGCTTCAATTCACTTTCATGCTCACCACCAATTCGCCATGCTACCGCCAGTCACCGATATCTAACGCTTTCTTTAAGAAGTGGTGTCCTAGTGTCTCCTTCAAACTGCCGCTCGTCCAATCAAGCCTATGGATCAACTTGTTCCTTTTCTTGTGCCTGTGGTCACCGACTCAGCGGTCCTTCATCAACTCAGTGCCGGCAGAGTAGGGTCTGAACCAAAGAGCTAATACGGTCAGATGTGAAGGTGAGGAGCTAATATATAGATTTAGCCAGGGCTAAAAGCGAAGCTCCCATTAATAAATTTATTATTTAAATCAAACAATAAACTTGTAATCCACAAATCAGTTAACTTAAGGGCAAATTCGTGTGACTTTTGAGGGAAAGGCTAAGTGATTTTAGAGTGAAACATCTTACATCGAGTTGATAGCCATATAAAACATCCAAAAAATAGCAATCATCTTCAATCACATTTAAGAGCCATAATGGCTCTTGATCACAGTAGATTAGACCTGGAAAACAAATTCTTGGAAAACAAATCAGGCCAAATTTTTTGCTTTCGACAAGTTTTATACGTTACAAAATCTTGCCAACAAGTCCGGAGGTGTGTAAACCAACCTTTTACACTTTTTATACATCACATCTGAGGTGAAACAGTACTGTTTATCATACAGACCTCGTACAGAATGCAGTATTTCACAAGTTTTCAAGACAAATTGCACTCAGTCAATATTCAGGACGATCAATCGAGGGCTTTTAGCGAAACCGTTCAAAAAATTTTCAAAATCACCTATACGGCCAGCCAGTTCTCACTTTTGATGAGCGCCAAATTTGCAGTGAACATAGAGTTACGTTTCAACAAAATAAATAATTTATTATGTTCAATTTTTATTTAAGGGTTTTATAACGATGTGTAATCTTAAAAAAACGTTTGATACGCGCGCAATTTTGAGATAAATACTGCAAGTGATCTTCATGAACGACTGAAAACGAACGGCACAGCGATTAAAATTGCAAGAGAAACACTAAAAGAAATATAATTCGGTGAAACATTTACAGAGACATCAATTTTCATTCACGAAGACAAGTATTAAAGCGTTTCTAAAAATCCTGAGTCTTAAAGCTTAATAAGTTTATGTTTTAAGACGGCCTCCCGGTGTTTGCTTTTCTCAAAGATGAACTCGAGGCAAGAAAATCGCGCAAAGTTTTCTTTCTACAACCAAATTTATTACTAAATATTCTTCGGAACGTTTTCTTTCTATTTGTGGTAAGAAAATATACCTAAAGGTTTTTAAAGTTCAGCAAGTTTATATCAAACCTGATACTAGGTCAGATCATTGTCTCAAATCTTACAAACGTGCATAAACTTGCTGCATAAACTGTGCTCGACTACATGAAATTAGATATATATATAAAAAAACAAACATGAAATACAGTCATTACTCAGGCTTATCATTCGAGATGCAGCTCCTGAAAGCTACCAAGTAACGCGAGAATCGCTCGAGAATTTTGAATCCTCTATACGCATCAAGCAAGGTGAAAAAAGAAAACGATGCCGTCCAAAATCGGATTTCCGACTTTGACAAGCGACGGCTCTCTGAACCAAAAAACCAATAAACAAACTATCCATGAATAACAGAAGACTTTTGATAGCAGCTGTATTTCATTTTGTACATCCAGTGGAAAAGACTTAAAAACATCACAAGTTGACACAAAACTCTGTCAGCTTCAGCTGTCAAAGTAAACAACTTTCAAGATGCTGCATAAATTTTCAGCATGAACTCACCTGTCAAATTTTGACCAATCAGAGCATAAAAATTGGACGTAGAGCGTGACTAACGCGTGACCATGGTAAGAAAAGGTCTTCCCCGAATGTTTTTTTTAAAAACTGGCTGAATTTTCGCGTCCGAGGTCAGTTTGAAATCAAAATCTTAATAGTGCGGGACCATAATGGCATTAACACAACATATTTCACATAAATTTTAAAAAAATTAACTTGACCCTGCGACCATTTGAAAACCAGTAACTTGTCAGCGGATAACTTCAAAAAAGAACTCGATCTCGATGGGTCGACACCTGAGCCCGCGATACGGCCAGGTGATACTGGTCAGCGGACATCTTGTTTTGATAGCTGTCAATTGATCATAACATTGATGTGCAATCAGTTTCCTCCGATCCTGGGCTTCCAAAGTAGTTAGAAAGTGTGAAAAAACATTGGTTTTCCTGTGGTGCGGACAGACGGTCGGCAGTCGGTCGGTGTACGGTCACGTGATTACCAAATTTTCTGGGATGGGTAGATTTACTAAGCTATGGGGCTCCGCCCACGCGCGCGCGAGCTCCGCTATTAATGACATGGTGCACGTGTGTATGACAATTTCAGTGTGCCCAATATAATAAAGTTACAATTAAAATATTGCAGTTCGCTAATAAGGTACGTGAAAGCTGAAGGTCTATTGTAACATTTTTTTTTATAGTTTTAATTATTTCAGTAACTTTAAAGAAAATTGTGCTTATTTCGCGGTTTTACAAAAAGGAGAAAGTTAGAGAGGAAAGATAAAAATGCAGTGTATGTCGCAGGGACCATGAACAAATGTTTGGTACGTTTCATCTACTTTTCATATTATTATTCAGTATAGATATTGTGTCATTTATTCAGACCTTTTTTATTATTCAAATTAGCTATCATGTGTCCAGCTCTTGCTGTCAGCAAACTTTTGCAAACTTTACCATTAAGCTGTGGCGCCGCCCGGATGAAAATCAACGCCAAATGCTCGTTTACATGCCCACAGGGATTACACCAACTAAAAGGTCCTTTTTATAAGCAGTGGGGGGTTGATGGTCAGTGGTCCGACAAGGCTAAGAAGGTTTCATGCACTGGTGAGTTTTGAAACTTTAGGGCTTTTTATCAATCTTCTACTACAGTACAATTAAATAATCAACGTCTGATTTTGCCGAATAACGGCGGCTGCAGTCACAGGTGTGTTAATACCATGAGAAGCTACAAATGCGAATGTCCAGATCCGGAATTGAGCTTGTCACCAGATAACAAGACCTGCAATGGTAAAATGAAAATTTTAAATAGGTGTTCATGATTTGGTAGTCAAACAAAAAAATTTTCAACACGATTTTTACGACAGTAACACTATAGCGTAGCAAAAGTGAGTTGAATTCAAAGTAAGTGACGTCACGCATAAAGAAGCGTGGCAGAACAAAACAACGGCTCTTCGCCAGCTTCAACTTATGAGAAATTTTCATGTCTGTTTTTTTTTTTTGATAAATAGATGTATAAACAGATGTATAAATAGATGTATAAATAGATGTATATTAATAGTTGTTTTTAGGCTTTCAAGTAATTTCTCCTTCATCGCCAGTTTAACTCAGTCTGATGTTAATCTAAATCTAGCGCTAACACCTTTATTTGTCTTTTACATTCTTCTCATTCAAACATATTTTTCTTTTACCTTTTTGTCATTTCTTTAATTCATATTGCATCTATATTCATTTAGCTCCAGGTGTTGTTGTTCAATGCAACAGCAATAATATGACCATCATTATCGCCAAGTCCCTTCTCCAAGGTATTGACCATGAACATCTTGGACTTCTGGACACCAAATGCAAAGCTACAGAAACAAGCGCATACTTCTCCCTTACAATACAGCTAACCGAACGCAACACAACACGCAGGCACACTGCGTCAACTATTCTCTATTCCAACACAGTATTGGAAATTCAAGTGGCAGCTGAAGATGTTATAACACTTGTGCAAGAGTTAGAAATCTAGTTCAGCTGTGTTTGCTCTAAACACGGAGCAGTTTCATTAGTTGGTTGGAAGCCAAACAACAGGAAATTTGTGTTTAGCGATGAAGGCAAAGGAAACTTTACACTGTCATTGAACATGTTCCCTGATAAACGATTTGTGAGTCCTTACATGAAGGATGATTTCCCCTTTGCTGTCGTCCTGCGAAAACGTCTTTTCTTTGAGATTTCTGTAACGTCAATTGACAGGCAGCTATCAATCATTGTCGATCAATGCTATGCCACACCCACTCAGGATCACAAGAATTCCTTGAAATACGTGTTTATCACAAAAGGGTGACTAACACAGACCATAAACGTAAACCCCGGCCGAAAATCCAAAAAAAGTCCAACAAAACATTGCATTTGAATGCTGGCGTTGTTAACCCTTCAGGTAAATTCCTCCATAAAATTCAAGGAAGTAGTCAGTGGATGATTTGTTGGGTGTTTTATGAGGAGTCCCTTTTTTTTGTACACTTTGTCTGAACACGTTTTGCCGCAATTTATTTTCATAGGCGAGAAAATGTCTTGGCTATAAGCTGTACAAGACATAAAGGTAAGCGCGGAAACCTTAAAATTGTGTTCTCATGTTGTGCTCACTTAAATGTAAAGACAGTTGAAATGAGTCCCTCCAATTTAATATTCCTTTATTCCTTTTAATCACTGACAGATGCCCAAATGATGCGACCGTCAACTGCCATTCAACACCTTCAGTGATCGAGTGCCCAACGGTTTAGTTTGGAAGCTTTCAAATTCATTGCTGACCACCCATTCGTCTTCGTCCACCGTCATGTGCTCTTGTGTAACGCAACCGACCCAGGTTCCAAGTGCGCGAAGAAATGTTCAGGAGGTGGCCGTGGAAGGCGTGACTCAAGTGATCACGTGAGTGGTGATGTGCATTCTCTGTTCCAGGGCCTGATGATAAACGTACAGTTTTTCGCTGTCCTTCACACTTAACCTAACCAGTGGTTAGTTAGTCGGTATTCATATTATTAGCACAAAAGATCTTATAACAAGAGGATTTGTTCTTCAATTTGAATAAACCACAGTCTGCTTCGACTGAATAACATCCCCCGTGCACAGTGTAAAAAGCTGAGGTGAGAAGTGTATTCCAGGCGATATGGATCTCTGTTGGACATTATTCACCGGCTCCAGGGGACCTTACAAAGAAGGTGCTCTTGTCGTTTATTGTGTTATACTGTAAGACTATTTAGTTTGGAGCTATGCAGCAAGGAAACACAAGGAGTCTTTAAAGTAACTTATTATCAGTAAGCCTCCAGATCCAACTCATAAAGTCAAACGTAAAGAATAAATTATAAAAAAAAAACAACTTAGTCAGGCTAGCCGATTTTATCTAGATTCTTTTACATTCGTAGCTAACAGAAACGAGCGTTTTTATCCCCGCTGTATATTTCGAAGGTTACGGAACAATGAGAATGCCGATGCTCATCGTGGTTTATAGTCAGTTTTAATTTTAAATTTAAATTTGAAGTTAATTGAAGTTTAACCTTAGGCGATAGAATATGCATATACCGGTCATGTAAAATTGAATTCATGGAACACAGCTTCGTCAACCAGCTACTTCAGATTCAACAGCATGTTATTTGAGGAAAACAAAATATATACGAATAAGTATACAGTGTGTAAAATATTTATTTCATAACGTCTGTTAGCAAAATTTCATCTTAGTCAGTGGCTTTTCAGCGCACATGGGCAACGTTTGCGCCCTGACTGAATTGGTCATTGTTTTGCTTAGTTTCTATTGTGTTAAATCATTCAGCTGGTCGTAGCAAAACTGTGCTAAAACCGGTATGAAAGTTTTTTTTCGAATTGAAAATAATTTTGTGATGCAACATGTGCTCAAATGACGATGAAAATTGGAACCCAAGAGAAGGAAAGAACAATCAGCTGTGAAGGAGTGCGTGACGAAGCTGAGGTACAGTTAGCAACCACTCAAAATATAAGAAAAATATAGAGATAGAGATGATTTGAATATTATTTCCTATTCAAAGTTTTATAACGTACACGACCATTGTTTTATTAATTAACTTGCGAAGTACTGCAGTCCCGTGGCGTGATATGCCCAAAATTGGCCAATCTTTATGCCGTGTAAACAGTCAAAACAGGAAGTAAACGCTTATTGTTTACAAAGCTTTAGTTCAAGATAAAACCAGTTACGTTGCGTAAAAATAGCCCTTAAAAAGTTTCCTTAAAAGAATGATATTTGTTTTATTCTCAGAGGTTTGGTTTTCTTGGTAAGTTAACTATTGTCAGTTGTAACGGTATCTCTCTAAGTCGCCTTTTTGAACGGTTTTTGCGTCAATGGCTTTTTGTTACCGGTTACTGCAGTTATTCCTGGCGGGCTTTTTACTATTTGCGCTAGGAGGCAACTCAGAAGGTAAGATGATTTCATCAAAATAGTCGAATTCTAACGAGCCACATTGCCGACCTTGTAATCTCACATCTCACGTATTTATCGGACACGCGAAGCTATTACGGAGATTCAGAGTCACTTTTACGGCAAACGGCAAATGCCGCCAAGTGACCAAGTTTTCCCTTTACTTTTTTTTTTGTTTGTTTTTTATTTTAATTTTCATTATAACTACACAGAAATTAGTTGTTTAACACAAATTTCACCCATAAGACTTGTTTTGAGCTTTTTTAATCTGCTTATTTTCTATTTTGAGAAGTTCGCAACTTTAATCACCTGCCGTATTTATATATACTACACAAAAGTTATTCTTTATTTAAGGTATCAGCCACCCTTAAAATTGCCATTTTTTCCATATTTGAGGTTTCAACGTTTTCAAATAGATATGCTTGAGAGCTTTCTTTTAAAAAAAAATTAGAAGAAAATATTATTTCTGTCGAAAGATATCGGGGGTAAAAGATTTTTTGTCGTTAATTACCTTAATTGATCGTTGACAAGATCTTTCATACTCGTGTCATATATCAATTAACTTGCCTGTTAACTAGTAACGTGATACCGAGTGCGTGCTTCGACACAACACGTGCGAATTGTCTTCGCGTTGTTTATAGCCTTTAGATTTAGCGTTTGCTTCGGTGAAAATGCCGCCAAAAAGGTCGTGTCCGTTTTCGTCATCGAAACCGAGAGCGAAAAAAGAAATCGAAGAGCGAGTTTGACAAAGAATGGGCCGCAAAATTGGCAGAGAGCGACAAAGGCTCATTTTATCAGCAAGAGAAGTGGCTCGAGGGGTTGGATATTCAGAAAAGCGAAAATGCTGCAGTTGCTGAGAGTGCAAGCCGCTCCAAAATCCAGTTTGAAGAGCCAGATGAAGAAAGCCAGTTAAGCTCATCGACCCCATCTGCTGATGGAAAACAATAAGCGGTCGAGCTATCGTATCGAGCGAAAAGCTGCTTGAGAAAATGGACGAGTCTGTATCTTGTCGATTTTGCCAGGGAAGAGTCCAAGTCATGGAAAATGTAACGACTAAGCATGGACTTGGTTCTACCTGGAGAATCCAGTGCGAGAATGAAAGCTGTCCGTCGCACAAGACAAATTCTGTTTTTAATTCTTCCGAGAAGAGCAGAGCGTTTGAAATAACCGGGCCTCAGTTCTTGGCCTTCGAGCAATCGGTGGTGGACATTCGGCGCCTTCAAAGGTTTTTTAGTTTCCTTGGCCTGACGCCGATCAACAAAAACGCCTGGGCGGATCATACAAAAAAGATCGAAGGAGAGGCAAAACTTTTGCTCGAGAAAGAATTAAACCGTGCTTCTCGTGGTGTAAAAGAGTGGAAGTTTTCCAACGGAGAATTAAACTGTTCACTTGCTTGCCGCGAAAGTTTGTTCCTGTTACATGTTACCTGTCAAAGTCCTATTGTTAGAGAAAATTGATCCCTCTCTGATATCAATCAGAATAAACATTCAGGTGTTATAATCTCATTCCAGGTATTTTCTATTTTATCTTCGAACGCAAATTTTGCCGATCGACTCGTACGTTTTGAACTCCAAGTCGCCAGCCTTTCAATCAATTTGGCTAAAATTTGGCCAGAGTGATGCAATATATCTCTTCTACAAAACCATGTCTGCGAATTTTAATACTCCTTTCCATTTTAAAGCTACAGCTTTTTTTCCACAGGGAGTGTTGACTTATTGCCTTCCCCAACTTCATTTGTTAATAAAAGAAAAACAAACGCACTTGTCAAAAATCTGAGACACGGTTTTTCAGTAGAACGTGTTGAGAAGCGAATGCGGTGTTAATTGTTTTCTTCCGTTTATTTCCGGCGAGAGTGGAACATGATTTATAGAGACGTGTACTTTTACACAAAGCGTTCCAATTTCGAAATACATTTGAGTAAATCGTTTTTTTTAGTTCAAATCCATAATCTGGAATTATTAAGCTTTTAAAAAATATATGGTTTATAGGGGTTTTTATAAAAACAACAAACGCTACAGCGATCCGCTCGCGGACGGTCCTGAAGGGTGGCTGATACCTTAAATCAAGCATACGGTTAAAATAGAACAAATCTTTGTTGCACCTCATAAATTTTTCCCAAGGTTCGTCATCATTTTTTAGTGGCAAAAAAGGATTCTCCAACGTTTGGACCGATTAAAGTGGAATACTGTGAAGTACATCGAATCCACTTACATTCTGGAATATTGACACTGCGCTCCATTGTTCTTTTCATATATTGGGCCTGCTATGAAATCATGCATGACTTGTGAATCACAATTTGCCTCTACATGTATGAAGAAGAAAGCTGTTGTAATCAACAGGAGGGCATTTTGCATGCGCATGCGTGCATCCGCTGAAGGGCAATAGCGTGGGCGCATCAAATCTGATGGCGGGAAATCGAAAATTCGCGTAAACCTACAGTCCTTTTAAAAGCCCTTTCGTTGGTGCTTTCAATACCGTACTTTCCTACAAAAAAAAAATATTCTTTATGACAAAAATCGGACGTTTTCTACGCGGGTTTTCAGTTCTAGATTTTTCAGCAGTAGGTTTTCTTGGCCTCTTAAAGACTT